TTGGTGTTTTGATTTCTTTCTGAGCTCAGTTTTCGCTCTCATCCTCATACAAATAGGTTTTAATGAGAATGAGGATGGAAAAGTGGCTCTGAAAGCTTCAAACCACTCAAACTTCTTTAAGAACCAACTTAAAAATGGTGATGAGTTACCCTTTTAATCTGCCAGGACCTAGAAATGAAGTAATTTAGCTGCACAGAAGATGGTACGGTTAATTTTGCATAAAATATACCAGAAATGGGGAATTCAGAAGTCACAGGCTGAAATGTTCCACATATTGAGAGTGGAATAAGAGGGGTGTGTTTGGGTTAATATTTAAATGTCTTTAGAGAATAAAATGAACAAACACCAAAAAAATCATCAAACCAACTTGTACTGGGTTCCAGATCTCCTTTTGGAAGGCAGGAGAATTTCTATTTGAGTGATAATTGACTTTCCCCTCAATTTTAAAATAATTTAGAGAGGAATATTGTCGGGGGAGGACATTTTTAAAATGGATTCAAGTTTTTCTGGCTGTGCCCTATGGGATTTGGAATTCATCCTGCATTTCTGTGGATGTCTTGTGCAAGTATTTTACCCAGAGTGCTCAAAACTGATTTAAATCTGTTTAATGAACTGTTATGTCCCACTGCAGAAGTTTCCAGTAGATGCTGTTAAAAAATTATGTGATCATAAGTCAGTGTGAGGGTCCCTGAGCTCAGTCACTCCTGTCTGTGGACGGGAAAGCACAGGAAAAAAGCAGTGGAAGTTTTGGATAATCCCCTTTTAGGATTGCATCAGCTAAAACCTTGGCTAAACCATTTCTGGAGCTTGGAGGATAATTCTTGGATGCTCTGGCCTGATCTGTTCTGTCACTGCCACTGAACTTTGTCCACAGTGGGTGTTAACACTGAGGGATTTTCATCCAGTGACACGAAATCAAAGGCTTTGTACTGAAGTCATCAGTCACCATTGCCAGAGGTGTTTTACAAAATGTTTAATGGCACAGAAATACCAAATGTGTTCTTCTGAGCTCTTAGAAGAGCTGTCTACTGTAGATATGTAAAAATGGTATGAAAAAGAGTTCATTCAGGACTAATTTTGGTGCCTCTGTAAGTGGGGTGAGATGCACAATTGCTTTTCCTGTTCAAACTCAGCAAGAGAGACCAGGTTGGTCTCTCTTCTGGTCACCTCAAAGTATGTGCAAAGTGACCTCTCATCTGACCAGAAAATGTGCACTCAGAAATCAAAAATTTGTGAATCATCATGGAATGGTTTGAGTGGGAAGGGACCTTAAAGATCATCTCATCCCACCCCCTGCCATGGGCAGGGACACCACCCACTAGTCCAGGTTGCTCCAAGCCCCATCCAACCCGGCCTTGGACACTTCCAGGGATCCAGGGGCAGCCACAGCTTCTCTGGGCAATCTATTCCAGCTCCTCACCACCCTCCCAGCCAAGAATCCCTTCCCAATCTCCCATCTCTTCCTGCCCTCTGGCAGTGGGAGGGCATTCCCTGTGTCCTGTCCCTCCAACCCTTGTCCCAGTCCCTCTCCAGCTCTCCTGGAGCCTCTTTAGGCTCTGGAAGGGGCTCCAAGGTCTCCTTGGATCCTTCTCTTCTCCAGGTGAACACCCCCAGCTCTCCCAGCCTGGCTCCAGAGCAGAGGGGCTCCAGCCCTCAGAGCATCTCCAGGGCCTCTTCTGGACTCTCTCCAGCAGCTCCACGTCCTTGTGTTGTTGTTCCCCAGGGCTGGAGGCAGCTCTGCAGGTGGGGTCTCACCTGAGGGGGCAGAGGGGCAGAATCCCCCCCTCCCCTGCTGCCCAGGCTGTGGGATGAGCCCAGGACATGGAGGGTTTTGGGGCTGCCAGCTGAGCTCCTTTATATCCTCATAAACTCACTGCAGCTCTGAGGAAAAAGGCAATTTTTGTTCTACAAAGATTCAAAGATGCTTTAAAGTGAATTGCTTTCATGGTCCCTCTTAGTCCGTGTTTTGTCAGCTTGGTTGAGGAAATTGTGCCAAAAATTATCACTGTAAAAGGGTCATGTTTTGCCAATGGATAAATATATATATGTCTCGTTTAGCAGTCCACAAACATTTAATGACAGAATTTGGCTCTCGATTCAGAAATATTTTTCATCCAGTAATGCCTTCACAGAAAGTCAAACATTTTTGTTTTCAGCCTTCCCACCAAGAAACTTGACTCCATTTCATCCCCTGGATCTGGTTTGGTGCCCTTCCTGCCCCACTGAGGGTGTTTCTGCCCATCTGCTTCTTGTCAACACCGAATTTGGGCAGGTGCCACTTCTCATAATTGCTTTTTTTCTCCGTGTTTTTCTAACATTGCTTGGCAAAGTTACTGTAGTTTGGAGATTTGTCATCCTTTCAGGAGGAGAACTTGATGGGGAGTGATTAAAGAGTTTTTCTCCTTTGCTATTTTCTCTCTTTTGCTATTTGATACCAACTGGAGTTTTAGATTTTTGTGGATTTGCAGGCTGTAAGACTGAGGAGGTTTGAGAGATAAAAGAAACCCCAAAAAAACACTTTTTCTCCGTTTTATTTGTTTTAAAGGGAGAAATGGAAATCAAAGGAACTGAGAAATGGCTTTAAGTACTTTTTCTTATTCCAGTTCTGAGTGCTTATCTCTGGATAATAATGCTGGACCTTGGAGCAGACCCTGGAGATGGCACATTTACTGGGAGAAAATGGGAGAAAAAGAGCCAGTTCTGGTGCCAGTGGGAGAGCCTGGAGCTCCTGGTCCCTGTGTCAGGTCACACACAGTGATGTGGAAACAACACAGACAGTGCTTTTCCTTTCCCCCTCCTTTGTGAGCTGCCAAAATGCTGTTTTTAGCACTGGACCATGGAGATATTTAACCAGGATAATTTGAATTCAAGAGCCTTGGCTCCTCACTGGGGTTCAGCCAAAGGTTTAAAGTGCTGTGTCAGTGCCTGCCCAGGGATTAGCCCTAAAGCCTTGTGACTATGGATATTTTTGACATTAAAGGTGATATTTAATAACACTCCCAAAATGGACCAACCCATGGCTCAAAGGTGGTGGAAGAGGAGAGAATAAGTGCTCTGCCAAACACTCTGCTCCCTTTAACACCCTGATAAGCCTCTCTTAAACCAAAATTTGCAGGATTTTCTCATAGGGAAGTTAATCCCTCTCCTCTCTGCTCTTCATTAAAGTGAAAGACTTGGCTTTTACAATAATCAAGTTATCCTTGTGTGTCTGAGTTACTGCTTAGGATGAGTCTGAGTACCTGCACCTTTCATTGCTCTAAACTATCTCTGGGCTTGGTCACAAGTCAGCCCTACAGTTGTTTTCAGGTTAATTCTTTTGTCTTAGAAGATTAACACTTTATTCCAAAGGAAGGTGAAGTTCTGGAGGTGTGTGAAAACCCCTGGGTCATGAGCCCCAAAGCTGTGTTTATTTATGGTTTAAGTCACCATCTGCTTCCTGGAGCCCCAGGTCCTGTCCCAGTGAGGACCTCAAAATGCTCATACCTTGTGCCCCCAAAACTGAGCCAATTTCCTCTGAATCCAGTTTTGGTGGTGAACTTTCATTAAGCAGGTTTAATGACAGGCAAACCCCTTCCCTCCTTTCTTTTATTGAAATGAAGCTTTTATGCCTTAAAAAAAAAATTGTTTGGATCCCCTATGACCCTGTTGGAGTTTTGTCCACCTTTTGTCTTTATATTTCTGCCATGTTTTATTTTAATGCCTGGCAATCTCTGTATAAATAATAGCTGGTTTTTTTCTGCCATGTTTATTTCTCTTGGGGATAAGATTAGTCAGATTCCTGCTTTCCTGTACTTAAGGGGATGCAAGAGAAGATTCCTTACTCTTCAGCTGGAAGGTTTTGGTTCTTTAAATAGATTGTTGAATTCTGGAAATCACTTGTCTGGGAGATGGCACTGCCTGTGTATTTGTAGAGGAAGAGTTCTTGAGTCACTTGGAGAAAAGAGAATAAAAGCAAACTGCTCCCAGATTGTCTAATATGCCTCCCTTAAAGAGCTCTGTCCCTGAAAGTGCACCTGCACCTGTAGGATGTTATTTAACAGTGCTAGAGAGATATTTCTGCCTCTTTCTTCTTTCTCTTTTTCTTCATGCTTCCCTTTCCCAAGGTTCTCCATTGCACTGGTGTCCCTTTCCCTCCTGTGTCACGACAGCCCAAGTTGACAGCCTCAGATTTATAGTCAAGTGTCACACTGTGCTGTTCTAGTCTTAGGAGGGTGATTACTTCAGATCTTTAACATAAAAACCCGAATATGGAGCAAGTGAGGGACATTCCTTGTCAATGCCTTCATATCAAAGCCTGTGCCGTGAAAGGCAAGATGCTGTTCCAGTGTTTGATGGACTAAAGCTGAGGATTTCACTGCCAGACCAGGGTCACCTCAGCTCTCTCTGTCATCTGGTTGCTCAGGGATCTGCCTTTGAGCAGCTGCATGAAAGAAAACTTTGTCCACTGTGAATTTTGTCCTTGTAGGTGTTGGTGTGTTACAGTTCAGGGATGCTTTGGGTAAGGATTTTACCTCTTCAGAGTGTGTCACCAGAATGCAGTAAAATAGTTGTAGAATCATGGAATGGTTTGGGTTGGAAGGGACCTTAAAGATCATCCCATTCCACCCCCTGCCATGCATAGGGACACCTTCCACTATCCCAGGTTGCTCCAAGCCCTGTCCAGCCTGGCTTTGGACACTTCCAGGGATGGGGCAGCCACAGCTTCTCTGGGCAACCTGTGCCAGGGCCTCACCAACCCTCAGAGGGAACAATTTCATCCCAATATCTCATCTAAATCTCTTTTAGCTTAAAACTCTTCCCTCTACCCATGTAAAAATTCCCTCTCCCTCTTTTTTTAGGGACTCCCTTTTCAGTACTGAAAGTCTGGTTTAGTTCTCCATCATCTCATGACAGAGGTTTACTTATGTTTCCAAAATTTCAAATACAAGCTTTAATCTTCACCAGTTTGACAATATTTAATCCTTTAACTGATTGATTCTCTTTTTTTTCCCTTCCCACAGGCTGTCCCAAGAATTATGGTTCAGTCAGCCAGTGTGGATACCAGTGCTGCCAGGATAAGACAGGTAAGCACATCCCAGGATGTGATGAGGGAATTTTTTACATTCACCTTCCAGAGGTGGCAGAAGCAACTCCTGCATCAGCTGCTTAAAACCTGTTGCACTTCTGCTGTTGCCTCACAGTGAAATGCAGGGAGTATTGCTGAAATTTTTTAGGTCCTGTTAAAATCTCCCCTTCTGTTGTTGGTTACACTTTTATACTGAAAAGAGTTAGCAGTTAATTAGCTAAAATTTAGCTGCTTTGCTGCTTTAAAGGCTAAATTTCTAGGCTCTGACACTGTCCATAAACAGAACATGTCTGTTTTTCCAAGTGTGGAGTTAATTCTCGATTTTACCATGATAAAATGTGGAAAAAGTACTCTTGCTAAGATGGAGAGAAAATAGAGCCTGTGATCTCCCACTTTTCAGCAGAACTTCAGTCTCATGAAGTTCTCTCTCAGCTTCCTCCCACTGGGCTTTTATTGTCTTAAAAAATTGTGTGTTATCTGAAGGGAAAACCCAAAGGGAGAGCAGGGCTCCCAAGTCCATGTAGACACCACCCTGGCCATAGAAGAGCTAAAAATGTCTTTAATATGCAGGAATATTTTTTAAAAAACCCTTTCTGTATTACATTTCACTTAGCAATAGCCAGCCTTTGGTTCTGAAATTCCTGTAATCCAATCAAATCCCTCTTTCTCCAAATGCTGCTTACACTTCCAGTGGAAAAGACATTTGAGAATAAGAGGAAAATCCTGTAGTTTGGGACACTTAACCACTATAAAAATCACAATATTTTGAATAATAAACAACAATGCCCACCTGAGACAGGGTATGTCCAAATCTGCCATCCTCCAACCTCTCTTTTCCCCCCCCCTCCAGTCTCCTCCCTCCCAAAGAGATTTAGAGACATCCTAATCTTTTAGAGTACATGTGCTGGCAAAAGATATTGATCTATCAGATTTAGTAAACTTTACAGCCAAGAAATACATCACTGAAATGGGCTGTTAATCTCATGAGGGGCAGTTAATTTCATACTCTGGAAGTGCGTGGTGCCGGCAGCGTTGAGGTGGGAATGGCATTTGGAAACAGGGACATAAATGACAGTTTAGGGGGAGAGAGGTGATTTATCAATCTGGAGAATTAAGCCAAATAACTGTGAGAGACTTATAGATCATGGCTGGTTCCCATTCCATATAAATCCTGCTGTTCAAACAGCAAATGACCGTTCCTGTAATATAAATAATTTCTCAGTAAATATTGGGGGACGTATTTCTTGGGGTTGACACTTCTCTTATTAATGGAAGGAATGAGCTGACAGTCCTCCCAGGTTTGCAGAGCTGACTTGGGATCAGCTTCCATCTTCTGCAGGTTGCAGCTGCACGGGGATTTAGAGAAGCTGAAGGCCTTGGGACTTCCCACAGGTCTTGTAAGTGTGCTTTTAGCCCACGTTCCCTCTGCTCTTTGTTTCAGATGAACCAAGAGGAAGCAGGGAAACAGCCATTCCAAACCACGGTGCAGGCGCCCGAGGTGGACAAGAGCCCGGAAAAGACACCCCAAGTGCCTTTGCAGCAGCCCCCGGGAGATTCCCAAGCCCAGGACTCCCAGGAGGGGCCTCCAAGCCCTCTGAGTGAAGCCTCCAGTGGGTACTTCTCCCACAGTGTGTCCACAGCCACCCTCTCGGAGGCCCTCGCAGCGGGAAGCGACGCTGGGGCTCAGCCAGGGGGTCAAATCCCTGCAGGGAGTGACTTCCCAGCTCCCGTGGTGGCTCAGGTCTCCTCTGACATTCCAGGACACTCGGACGGTGCTTCCGAGAGCTGTTTTGGTACAAAGAGGGAGAGCCCACCCGCCTTCAGCCTTCAAAGCGCTCACCCAAGACCCAGAGACGGCCCTGAGGTGAATGGAAACGGTTTGAAATCAAAACCTTGCACATCTCCCGGGACTCCGAGCGAGCAGGGACACGATGCCTCTGTGGCCACTGATGCAAAACCCTTTCTCTCTACCTCCACTCCAAAGAAGGAGTCGTTGTCCAAACAATCAGCGGAGTCAGCAGGACAAGCTAGGAAAAAAGAAGGGGCTTCTGGGGCTTCGGAAGGTTGGGGGTTTCCCAAGCCACAGGTTCATCCTGACCAGTTGTCCCAACCTGGCACTGCAACCTCCCCCTTCAAAATCCAGAAAGTCAAGACGTCGGAGCTGAAGTCCTTCACAAGCATGTTGGGGTCAGATCCCACATGTTCCCTAAACACAGAAGAGCAGCGAGAAGGAGGGAAGAGCGCGGCCGCTTCCCGTGGGCTGAACCACAACGGATCAGAGACGGAAGAGGAAAAGCTGGAGGTGATTTCCGACTCCGAAGACGCCAATGAAATTCCCGAGTGGCTGAAAGAGGGAGAATATGTCACAGTTGGCACCAATAAGACAGGCATTGTTAGATATGTCGGGCCCACAGACTTCCAGGAGGGAACGTGGGTTGGTGTCGAACTGGATTTGCCTTCAGGTAAAGTGTTTTCTGGAGCAGGTGGGAAGCAGCCGGTGTGTCCATGCTGGCAGTGCTCATCCCAAGGCTGCTTTTTTGGGGTGGGGGGTTCATTACCCACTGCTGGGGGGATTTTGAGAAGGGAAATATAAAAGGTTTTCCCTGCTGTAACCTTCTTCCAAACCAGCTCTCACTTCCAGCCTCTTCTACCCAAACCATTCTATGGTTCACTACCCTCACTGTCCCTTTTCAGTCATTTCTTTGGCTTCTTGCAGTGGAAGTAGGAACCAGGATTGCTTTTCCATGCAGTTTTGGAAGTTTGTGTCCATAGAATTCCCTTCTGGGTTTCTACTCTGAGGATGAAGGTGTCCAAACACAGCAGGAGTTGTGGGATTTAACTGAGCAAAGGGACTTTTAGGCTAAATGAGTTGCAAAGTCTCTTAATAGGTATTAAGAGATAATAGGTCTCTTAATAATCTATTTTAAAATAAGCTGTAAAATTGCAAAAGACTATTTCTGTATGTGTCTATATATATATATTTTAATATATACAAATGTATATATACACACCCCTATATGTGGGAAAACCAGTGGGAAATAATCATACACTGCCCACCAGGTCATACAGGTAATTTAAAGTTTCTTTCACCTTCTCATTTATCATCCCAGTCTGACTCTTACCTGTGCAATTGTGGAATTCCCAGAATTTAGGCTGTAATACCTGATTTTTGGAAACCAGGGTGCAGTTCCTGGGGAGGCTGTTCCTGTTCCTCTGTGCTGTTGTGGAAAAATAGTGTCTCCAGCACAAGAGGAAAGGAAGATGGTGACTGGGATTTGATTTCTGCTGGATCCCCAGGCTTCCCAACCCCTTTCCTCTGCAGGTTCCTGTCTGCTTTCCTGGCATTTTTTTTCTCCAGGAGCAGGCAGGATTTGGGAAAGACAGTGGAAAATCCAAGAGACAGGCAGCAGCTGCCTTTGATAGTGAGAGAGTTTGGGTTACCCAGGGCACGTAAAGCTCTTTATTTCCATCCTTTTAGCCAGTCTGCAGCATTCCCAGTCTGCAGCATTCCCAGTCTGCAGCATTCCCAGTCTGCAGTGCAGCTCTGTTTGGTGAATCAGCACATCCCAGAGTGCCCAAGGCTGCACATTTCCCTGGGATGGGAGCTGTTCACCCAGATAAACACTGTGTCCAGGATCCAGAGCTCCCATGAAAGGAACAGTTATCTTCCCTGTGCACGGTGTGCTCATCAAAGCTAAACTGGGCTGTTGTGTTTCCAGCTGCTTTGAGAACACCCTCCTGAGTTTGCCATCCTGGAAAGCAAACTGGAGCTCTGATCCCTTTGAAAGCTCTAGTCCTGTTTCTCAGTCCTGAATTTGTAACTTATTTAAAAAAAAAATAAAACTTATATATGTATTTACAGATTTACTTCAATTTTGGAAGGTCACCTTCCCTCCCCGTCAGGCTGCTCCAGCCCATGGTGCTAATTCCATTTGCACATCCCAAGAAGCATCAGCTTCCCTGGAAGAGTTGTGAGATTTTTGGCCTGCTGAGAACTCAACTGCTGATGTTACTGGATTTTTTTTCCCCCCTTCTGTTTCCACAAGGATTAAGACCCTGATTTGTTGGAGCTTAAATGGCTTCTGGCACATCTGGAGCTTCACTTGGGGAACACAGTCACAAAACTGGTGTCTTTGTCACACTGCAAACAGGGATAGAAGTCCAAGTCCTGGCCACATGAGGGTACATCCAATGTGGTGATGGTGATAGAAAGAAGGAAGCACCCCTCAAATAAATGGGGTGACTTTATGTCATTTAAAGAGCTGTTGGATTTTTTCCCCATTCTCTTTATGGATGGGAGTGGTCTCTGTCCTGGGGGAATTTGAGATTTTTGATTTCCTCCTGTTCTGTGGAGGGTTTATGACATGGAAACAGTGACTCTTCTCAACTACAAACATCAACTCAGAAAGCCAAATGCTCTTTTAAATGTCTTTTTCCCTTCCTTCCTGCTCCTTTGCTAATGGAACAGATTATTTACCACTTTTGGGGAAATCAAAGAATTCCTCTGAATAGCAAGTGGGGAGGGAAGGACAAGATGGAGTGTCCTGTTCTGAGTCACTGTCTCTGTGCAGTGGCTTTGCTGTTGTTCAGCAGGGAAGTTTTACCTCCGGGGTGTATTTTTAGGGAACAATCATTTCTCCTTCCAGAATGTTCTCCTTGCCTCCTCCTTGCATTTACCCAGAATAAAACCCGTTTTCTAGGAAGAAAATCCTTCCCTGTGAGGGTCCTGGCACAGGTTGCCCAGAGAAAGCTGTGGCTGCCCCATCCTTGGAAGTGTCCAAAGCCAGGTTGGACAGGGCTTGGAGCAACCTGGGATAGTGGAAGGTGTCGAGGCTGGAATGAGATGATGTTTTAGGTCCCTTCCAAGCCAAACCATTCCGTGATTCTCTGGTTCTCTTGCCACAGGGAAGAACGACGGCTCCATCGGAGGGAAGCAGTACTTCAGGTGCAACCCAGGGTACGGATTGCTGGTGAAACCGGGCAGAGTCAGAAGGGCCACGGGCCCGACGCGCCGGCGGACTAGCCGGCTATGTGGCTGCAGAGGACGCCGCTCGGGAGTACAGGCGGAGCGGCAACTTCTCCGGCTCAGCCTCCAACCTGGCCTCCCTCACAGCCCTGGCCAAGGCAGAGGGAGGATCCACTCTACGGCTGGAGAAGAGCCAGAAGAACGCGGAGAACAGGAAATCCTGGGCAAACTGAGGCAGCCCAACCCAGCGCGGCGAAGGCCGCGGGGTGCGGCCGGCGGAGCCGACGGCTCCGGGAAGAGAAAACCGACCTACCCGAACTCCCAGTTGATGGCAAACACTAATGAAGGGTTTCTTCTCTCTGCTTTGGGTGATTGACACGATAATTCCTTGCCTTGTCATGGTGCTGGATCTCCATCCCTCGTTTCCTGTTACAAATCGTGGCGCTCCGGGGGGTGACCGATGACGGCCGGTGACGGCGCGTGGCGGTGGGTGGGTGTGACCTCCCTGTCTTCCAACTTCCAGAGGTAAATTGTTCAGGTCGTGGCGTGGCTTCCCAGCAGCTACAAAACACCCCCCTCGGTGTACAGGGCGATTCCAAAAAGCCTCCCCAGAACAACAGTTCCTTTCCAGTTCCGTAGGAGCTGCGTCTCTGTGGCGGAATCCACAGTGGAAGGGCGAAGTTGGGATGATTCCAGACAGGCAGGGAAGTGAACAGAGAACTTTTTGGGAAATAAAGAGCCCTCAGACCCCTTATATTTAAAAAAGCCCATGGGTTTTGTGAGTGGAACCAGTGCCTGTGTGGGTTACTGTCCCATTGTCCCACTCTCCTGTGGAAATCGGCACAGTCTTTCCGCCTGGTTTGGTGGGAATGGGAGAAGACCCATGACGTGCTCTGTAATATTTTTGATCCATTTAATGTGCACTCTCACCGTGCCAGGATCCCCTCTCACTTTCCCTAGAGTGGCAGGACCCTCCCCTTGGTTCTTCCCAGTGGGCCAAGAGGATTTTTGCAGAGATATCAGCACTCAAGTGCTTCCATGTTCCCACCCAACCTTTGGAGACCCTTGAAATTTTACCAGTCAAGCAAAGCAGGGGATCTCTGTCCTCATAATGGGATTAATCCAGTCTATTTATTTTTATTTATTCTTTTAAAACACAAAATGTTTGCGCTTTACAATCATCCGCAGAGGAACCTCTCCCAGCACCATCCCGAGCGCCGGTCCAAAGAGGAGGTGCCTCCGTCGCCAGCTCATCCCCAAAACCCAGCTCCCTCTTTAAAGTGGGAGTTTTTATAAAAACTTGATTTTATTTGTGGTAACTGTGGCTGGTTTTTAACTGCCTGTGGCACAGGTGACGTCCGTAGGTGTGTCCATACCTGTGCACAGATCAACCTGCACACACTGATTTTCCAACAGATCATGGAAAAGCCACAGATTTTACTATTCTGAGCTGTTTGTGTCTTGTTTAGTCATCCTGGGGGGACTGGAGAGCTTGAGCAATAGATGTTTTAGCTGTGTGGGGACTATTTAGGACGTTAAATCAATGATTAAACTCTAATGTCGATCCAACCGCTGCCCGTGGGTATCCAAGTGCCTTAAACCATCTGGTTCCGAGGTCCAAGGGAAAGCTACATTGTCATCAGAGGAGATAGGGATGCTCAGAGAAGGAGCTAATTATGCTGATTTACTGTAATTAATATCATTTATGCAGAAGGAATAAAATTAAAATAGAAGCTAATCTGTAGCTGAAATAAGTGAGCTGGGTTCCGATGCAGCCTGCATAGGACTTCCAGGGATTTGTGTATCCTTCCAGCTTGGTGTAACTACTTTTCAGTGTTTCCTAAATCTTCCTCAAGAAATCTTAATATAAAATGTACAGAGCAGCTTTTAAAGATATTTTTTAGTGTACAGTTTTTCCCTCCTTTTCCTTTGCACGAAGCTCCTGTGCATCCAAGCCACGAACGGCAGGAATTTGGGAGTAAAGAATTCAGATGCTAAAATCCCGGGTTTTAAAATTAAAACTGGTTTTATAGATGCAACTCTGGGGGTCTGATGAGTCTTGCTGGTGAAAGACCACCCTCTAATGAATTCAATGCCTCTTAAACACTGCCTGGTCAGTTCTCTGAACTCCCCCCTGACCACGTTTCTGATGCACTTTGTTCCGATGGGCTGCTGGAAGTAGCTGACGTGAAACAACCCCTCCCCTGTAGTTGTGTGGGTTTAGTCTCAGCATTTCAGTTACTGGATTTAGGGGTGTCTTTAAAACTCCTCCATGTTTGCCTGGTGTCCCCTTTGGGGGAGGTATGAAGGGAAGAACCTGCCCAAGTCCTGTCTGTGAACCCGGGAGTTCCGTGGGACCCACGGAAAGGTGTCCAGGTTGCAGGAGGGAAGGGCCCGAGCAAAGGCAGCTGGGTTAATATTTCACTGGCTTTACTGCCCACTATAAATTCCTCTGGCCTGTTTGTGCCCCAGCTCCGACCACGTGAGGACATATTTTGGTGTTTGCACATCTGGGGCACGTGGTTGGAGGCTGCACCCGACTGCTCCAGGCTGGATTGCCTTCCTCCTGCCCTCTATCATGTTACAGAACCATGGAGAGGGGTGTGAAGGATGGTTTAACAGACCATCCTTGCTGCCTCCTCTGAGATAACTTGTCCTGGAAGCAAAAGTCTTCAGTAGGGCTGAGATGTTTCCAGGCATCAGTGGGTGATGAGCAGGAGCGGCTCTGCCACCAGAGCCCTCAGTGCCTTTGTGGAGGGAGAGTCTCAGAGCTCTCTTGGGTTTCACCATCTTCTTGGGCTTCTGAAACTAAACCTCTCCTCAAATTCCACCCTAAAGTCACCCCGATGCAGCACAAGAAAGCCAAACTCATCAAATTCAGCCATGAGGATGTTCCTGGAGGACTTCCCTGACTCCCTCCTGCTCCCCCACAGCTTTCCTGGGCACACAAGGTTTCTCCTAAAGATATTTTCCAAGATTTTGGCATGGTGAGTGCACATTCCTCTGCTCAAAGCCATCTGTTATTTCACACCAGCTAAGCCAACTAACCAGAAACACAGTTAAAAAACCATCATGAAGGTAATAATACATATTTTTTATTGTTAACATTAGAAAATCTCTACTCTCAGCCTAAAGGAGGAGGTGCTCTTAACTGGAAGCGCCCAGCACTGAGGCTGCTGTGTGAATAGCTATGCATATTTTCCAAGATTTTCATGCACTTTATACAGGGAAGGAGAATATTTAATGCAGGAGAGTGTAATTTGTTGTGAGTGTCTCATCTCTGGTGTCTCCTTGGGGGTTCCATCTTGGCTGTGTCCCGGAACTGCGGGGTCTCGGATTCTGGTGTGGAAAATTGTTGGTGGGTTGGAAAGGCACCATCCATTCCTGTGTCCACAGGGGGGTCCTCTCCTCCCCACGTGGGTCCCTTCTTCCCCATGGGATGTGAGGTGTCATAAACGAGGCCTCTCAGAGGGACTTTTTGGGGTTTTTTTCCAAACCAAGGCTTGTTCCTGTGTTATGTTCAGCTCTTGAGGTTTTTTGATCTCTGTGTCCAAAATCCTGCCTGTTTTCTCCAAGGGCCTTGGCTCTCTGGTGGCTGATGATGTGGTTTAGTTGAGGAAAACTGATGGAAACAGATTCTGTGTGGAAACGCCTCCCGAGTCCTTAAGCAGAGTTCTGTCCGTGGTTGAGGTGGAAGCTCCTGGGAAGTGGGATATTCAACCCCCCTGTGCTCTCCTACAAACCAAGAACCCCCTCGTTCCCACCCAGTGGTGAATCCCTGTAGGAACAGAGCCTGGGTGTTGCACATCCCAGCTGGTGCCCTCTCGGAGCTGCCAGAGCTGTGTCCGTGTCGGTGCCCGTGTTGTCCTTCCACTGGCACCGCCAGTTCTTTGCACAAGACGTTGTTTCCCAGTGCCTTATCCCTGGAGCAGCAGCCAGAGGGGAGGGGCTGGGTGGTCTCCCAGCCTTGGACTGCCTGGATTTTAGGGAAGGACGGTGGCGATAGGGAACGGTGCAGGCTGGTCACACTACACGGCACCCTGAGCTGGGGTCATGAATAAGTGTCTTGTTCCTCCATCTCCTCTCTTTTTCTGCCCTCTCCACCTTCCTCCTAACCCAGGGACCGCTGGGGTTCCCTGCAGCCCCCACCCATGTCCCTTGTCCCCCCAGGGGAGCCGGTCCCAGCTCGTGTGTCCGTGTCCGTGTCGGGGGTCTGTACATACCAAGGGGTCACTGCCACTGAGGGGGGGGCTCTGTGTACTTTAAATGAGCTGAAATCCAAAGAGACTTTGTAATGAGCTGTAAAGTTTTTAATTGTATCTGTACAAAACTAAATGACTGTAATATTGTATTATATACGTGCGATGCCGCCTGCAGGACCTGAATAAACGTCTTCTTTAGAGCTGGGAAGTCTGTGCTTTGTTGGGCCAGTCTGTGTCACCAAAGTGTTTAGAATCAGGGATAGTTTAGGTAGGAAAAGTCCTCCAAGATGCAGTTCAGCTATTCCCAGGCCACCACTGAGCCATTCCCCAGGTGCCGCATCCACAAGGATTTTAAATCCCTCCAGGAACGGGGACTCCACCCTTGGGCAGCTGTGCCAGGGCTGGACAACCCTTTCCATGAAGAAATTTTTCCTCATATCCGTGGGGACAGCTGCAGGGGAGGAGGTTGCTGCTTCAGGGAACTTCCAGAACCAACCCCGTGGGTCAAAAAGGCCTTGGGGTGACAAGTCCCCTCTTCAATATTCCAGGGCACTGAGATGATCTTAAAACCCCTCCCTGGGGCACATTATTCCCTTTCTCGTTGGCACCATTTTTCTCCCGAATACAGCTTCGTGTTGGAAACACTTGGCAGGGTTTGACTGTGATTTTTTTTCTCGAGGGGTGGTTTTATTTTATCTTGGCTCTTTTTTTAGGCAACAAACACCGCGTTGATCCCACCATCCCCACTGGAAGTCGGGGAGCAAAGAAGTATTTTTATCGGCGTTGTCTTGCAATCAGCACACGAAAACACAGCTTTTTTTTTTTTCTCCCTTTAAAGCCACTTCCCTTTAATGTTTTACCTTCTGAAATTTAAAAAAAAAAAAAAAACACAGAAAAAAAACACTTTTTGGCTGAAACACAGGAGCTGTTTGAAGTGGCATCACTTTGTTCAAACCCTGCTCTTCCTGGAAGGTGGTTGTAACACCTTCCCTGTGCTGCCACGTTCTGTTCTTCAGCCAAAGCTGGTTTGAAAAGGCACCGATCAAAACAAGCAGGAAAATAATATTTAAAAAAAAAAAGCAAAAAAACTCACCTTTTTCCCATTTTACTTCAATTTAATGCCACTTCCATCGGCCTTGTTTGCCTTCAGCAGCCCCTGAGGGAAGGAGGAGCCTGGTGAGGAGCTGTCCAGCCACCAGCTGGGCAGATTTCACAAGGGGTTTTGCTCACCTTTGGACACTAAACTCTGATGAATTATTGTTTTTTTTCCAACTCTCTGCCCTCATCAGCCAGTTCCTCGTGGGGAAAAAAGGCACAAAATGGGCTGGACTGGAGCTTTTTTGCAAAGCACAGGCCTCCAGGGTGGGTTTGTTCATCTTTTTTTATTTGATTTTTAAGAGATCTCCAAATGGAGCTTTTCTATATTCCCAGTTTTCATTTGTGAAGCAAGGAGAGGGCTTCATCCCTCATCCTCAGCCCATGGCAGCAACAGGAAGTGCTCTCCCTGGGAAGGGGCTCCATGTGCACCCAGCCATGCTGGGAAAGGTCCTGTCACAATCCCTACTGTCCCAAGTCCTTCCACATTCCCCCTTCTCCCAAGAAAATGAGCTGGGAGAACCAGCCCTGGTGGGCAAGAGCTCCATCATAATGGCCAAGTTGTTCCTTATGATGGTAATTTCTTAGAAAGAAACAGTTTGGGGATTAACTTGTAAAGAAAAAAAACACATATCCAATGATAAAAATGGCTCAAAACCCAACAGTTCTGGGGGCTTAGCCTTTGATTCCAGATCTTGAACCAGCACTGATTTACAGCAGGGCCTGGTTTTTTTTTTGTTATTTTCCATGTGCCCCTTGGAAAGCTGGGGGGCAGGAGGGGCAGACAGGTGATGACAACCCCATGGTCCCCATCCCTGGAAGCGTTCAAGGCCAGGTTAGACTGGACTTGGAACAACCTGGGCTAGTGGAAGGTGTCCCTGCCCATGGCAGAGGGTTGGAACTGAGCTTTAATGTCCCTTCCAACCAATTCCATTCCATGAGTCCATGATCCCCATCCTGGTCCCTTCAGAAACCCCCTCCCAGCAAACACAGGAGGTCTGGCAGCTGATGATGGGGGTGGGAGCTTGAGACCCCTGAGATGCTGAGCCCAACCAGGCCAGGACAAAACAGCAACCACAGCCCCCTCTTGCCTTTGGCGTCTCAAAATTACACCTGTACTCAATAATTCAACGTATTTTTTTGTTTTATTACCAAAATCTGCTCCCTCTAGACCTTCAACAGCTCCTTGAGCGAACAAGTCAATATTTTCTCCATTCACTAAGTTCTCATGACACATTTTAGGTCTCACTTGCACCCAGTCTTGGCTCCCACCCCAAACCAGCTCTGCACAGAAAGCACAACAGAAGAAACGTGTCAGTGTTGAGTTATACATTTTTATTTTCTAATAGGTACAATACTAAAATAAACACAAATTAAAAAAAAGTTTTATTAAAACAAAACTGTACAAAAAAGCAGTTATACTACATTTTAATTACAGAACAGTCTACTGTCCAAAAGGCACTAATCCAGAATAGGAGATACAATGATACAGGACTCATTTGAACTATTTTAATCAATACAATAGAGCACTTGTTTCTCTGTCCATTCACATACAGAAACAAGGACTTTTGCTACAGTCATTACACATTGTTATAAATATGAGCCCTACGTGTAAAGGTGCAGTATCGCTCTCCCTGGGCCGCGGGCCGGTTCAAACAACGAATGATTCTCATTAAATTAAAAAAGAAAAAAAAAACAGGAAAGGACACAAGGGAAGAGGTTGATACTTGGGGTTTTCGCAG